GGCCAACCCAGACAAGTGAGCACGGGCCTCGCGGAGGCCGAAGTCAAGAACCTGAAAAAGCAACCAGAGGCCCGAGAGGACCTGCAAGTAAGACTTGACGGGCGCCCAAGTGGCTCGGAAAATGGGGTCCAACTGGGCCACAGGGAAGAGAAGGAGGGCCAAGGTGCGCGACTTCCCATCCAGACGATGGTCTTGCAGTTTACCAGCCGCACCTCGAAGAACCTCTAACTCCTGCCCGCTAGTTCCCATGACCGTAAACCCATGCAACACAGAAGACTCCAGAGCACTCCGAGCCATGCGCCCGAGCACGCGGCAACGGGACTTGGAACCCTGAAGGATGGACATGCGACGACGCCTGAGACGCATCGCCTTGACGCGGCTGGCGGTCGCGGCCTTGCCCCCAACGAGCCCAGAGGCGAAATCAACGCCAAGTTGCGCGCAGACCTAACAGGGAGGGGTCGGAGGCACTTAAGCTTGAGAGCAATGGAATTGCGAACGGAGGGCGCGTTCCCGAGCACACGGGACCTGTCGGTGACAAACTTGAAATCAACGGCCAGCAGTTCGCTGCGGAGCTTCTTGTCTGCAGCGACGACATCCTGCGCGACGCGCGACTCCGTTCCCCAGCGCATGAGGCCGAAGTCATCGACATTGACCGACAACTGCACCGTCGGGACAGAGGCCTGCACAGCATCTAGCGGACCTAACGGCATGAGTTGCAACATGCAGGTGGCCAACGTACATACTGGCACGATGGTTTGCTCGACAACGAGCAAAGAACCAACCTCGCCAGCAACGTCGAACAGCCCAGGGGCCCTGTAAATCTGCACCAGGAGATACAATTGCCACATCGGGAAAGCAGTGGCCGGGGCGTCCAGATGGCAGTGCTGCGCCAACTCAAAGGCCTTTTTGAAATCGAGAAGCAAGGTCGCACAAGTACGGTTCTTGTAGGTCGAAGGCTCCGACCAAGCAGCCTGGACCCAGACGCGCTTCTCCGAGGGCCCCCCGTGGGTGGACCAGAACAAGGACCGATAGTTGCGGGGCTGCCACTGGCGAATGAGAGGGCGTCTCCAGCGACATCGCACGCGCGCCGGCACACGAAGGAGCCCCAGATCGAGGTCTCGACCCCCCAGTGCGCTTAAGGACGCAGACGATGCGAGCCCTGGAGCGCCCGAGCGCTCGCCCGACAGCAATGCGCAAGGCGGGCGCCGTTTCTGGGCTGGGCGGCGGGCGGACCGGCGGAAAACCACAGCAATCCGTCAGACAATGGATGGGCGATGTCGATCCCTGGAGTTCGACGATGGCCCCCCGCACTCTCCGCGCGATCTCTCGGGGCCCCCCTGCAGCAGAGACGGCGCGGGCAGCGTTGCGTTGGCCCGCCGAGCAGGTCGAATCTTCGCGGCGCCCCCCCCCCCGCCGAACGCCCCCGCCCACGCCGCGAGAAGCGTTGCGACGGACGCGATCGCCCTGGGAGGCAACCGTGGAATCGAGGAACTGGTCAGAAATAAGGTTGCTCTCGGCCCTGCCAGCTCCGCCCCCGCGCCCCAAGCCACGCGCTCGCGAGCCCGAGCTGCGCCCGGAACTCCCTCGCGTAGTTTGTCAGGGCCGCTGGGAGCTAGGCCGACGATTCCTCGGCGCGGGCGCGGGCTCGTCCCCCAGCAGAGGCAAGCGACCCCACCCCCGGCAAGACCGCGTAATCCCTTCAGAGCGTCGCGGCGCTGGCCGCAACGCCGCAACCCCACAGGGCGGTCGCAGTCGGCACCAAGCCGGCACGAAGGAAAACGAGCGCCCGACCGACCCTCGTCGAGCAGGGGATCGAAGGAGCCCAACAGCCAGATATTAGGAGGCAAAGAAACCCACCTCGCTTTTGACCACCCTCGCTTCCAAGATATACCAAGCGATGCCAAACTACAGCCTGTACTGGTCAGGCCGCTTGATGAGGAGGCGCGCGGTATGACTTGGTTTTGCCTGGAAGCGAAAGCGGGGTAGGTATTTCACGCTCTGTGATACAGGACTGGCCAGGGCCCTCGATGCCGACGACGGCTCCACTGTCGGCAGGAGCGCGGGCCACCGCAGCCACCCTCTCGGCGATTCGGTTGGCTGCGAGAACCTGGGCCCCGGCCATGCAGGGGGAGCGCCTGCCGGATGCTTGGCCGAATGGGCCCTGGCGCGCCGCGACCGGCCCTGGGCCCGAGCGAACGTCATCTGTGGAGGGGCGGGCCGGACGACGAGAGCCCGGCCCCGAAAAATCAAATCAGCGCACTCTGCGAGGTTGCGCTCAACGCCGGCCTCCTCGGACAAGTCGGAGATGCCGCTCGTGGGCGACGGGCCCCGGCGGCGCGCGCGAGGACCGAGCGCTTTCGCCTTCTGCGCCAGTGCGCCGGCGTTGGTAGCGCCAGAGAAAAAGAGCCCCCGTCTCAAGTCCTCGCCCTCCTTTGCCCCCGCCCCCGCCGCCGTCTCCACCGCGCGCGCCCCCGAAGCAGCAGCGGTCAATGCAGACGAAGATTGGGCGGCAGCGGGCGGACTGGAATGCGAGGGGTGCGCAAGGGAAGATGGCGTAGATGGCGATGATAACGACGAAGACGGCATCGTTGCCCGGCCAGGCTCATCCTAGCACTCAGGCGGGAGCGTTGCCTCGACAAGAACGTTGCGAGGCATGCCGAAGATGCTGCTGATTCAGCGAGTTTCCGCTTACGCCCCGAAACATCAGGGTGCGTCGGCAATGCCGAGGCGACGCGGGGGCCACCCGCAATCCCGCAAATTGCAAGAGGCGCCTCTCGCGCGACAGCCGGCGAAAGCGGGCGCGCCGGCATTGCGGGGGCGACGCGAGAACCCATCGCAATCCCGCCAAATGCGGGGGGGTGCCCGCGCGCCCCGGCCGGCAGCGCTTGGCGCACGCCCTCATCAGGCGGCCCGTCCGTGTCTCGCGGCGCGCGTCAAGCGGGCGGCTTCCAGTTCTTGGGCCTCGCCGCCGCCTGACACTGGTTGTCGATGGCACGGTGCCCGCCCAAACGCCACTCGCAGGAGTGGCTCCGCTTGTTCGGGCACGGTCCGGAGACGCACCCGTTGGGTTTCCGGTTCCACGTGAAGCACAGTTCCCGCCCGTCCTTCCGGAGGAAGCGGCCGCCCTTCCGTTGCGCCCCAAGCGCCGCCAAGCCCATTTTGGCCTTCGCCTTCGATTTGGCGCCTGGCGCCAGCGCCGAACGGGCCCCGCCGGCCGTCTCGGCGCGCGGCTGCTGCGGGGCAGACGCCGCCTGCGTGCCCAGGCGGGGCGCCATCAAGGCAAACTTGTCGACGCGCTCGTACCACCAGCCACTCGTGGCCCCAGTGTCCGATCTCGAGCTGTCTCGGATCACTGCCTCCCACGGGCGCTCGGCGACAAACGTGCCGGAGCACGACCCGTCTTCCACTTGCGTTTCAATGCGCCGCCTGGCCCGCTCCCATTTTTCGGAACGCATCTGGTTGTCGGATTGGGAGCATATCCCCCAGTGGTGTGGGAATGTTGCGCAGAGGAACGGCATGCCCTCCTCATGCTCATCCAAAGGCCCTGGCAGGCAAGCCTTGAAGGTCACCATGGCGGTCCGGAGCACGCGCCAGCAGGCCCGCCACTGCTCGAACGAGGAGGGGCCCTTAAGCTGACGCGTGACCACCTCGCCGCCTACGAACACCTGCGCGGTGTAGCGCATGACCTTTTGCTGGCGCCTCCCAAATGGGCCCCGCACCGCCATCTCCGCGTAGGGGGCGACGTCCTCCGCGAGCCTGGCCGCTAGAGCCGAGATCTGGTCCCCTGTGGCTTCCTCATGCTCTCGGGGCGGACCCCGTGCGCCCTCTCAAACTTGTCCAAGCAGGAACGCAGCTTGGGCTATGGGAGCTGCTCGAACTCGTCCTCGTCAGCCTGTTCGATAAAAGCCGCAAGCTTCCGTTTCCGAGATGCTTTCCCAGACGGCATTGCGGAAGCGATCGGTGTCCCGTGCGGCCCGCCGCCGGGCGGCCCGCCAACAGGCGGCCCGTCGGGCGGTCCGCCGAGAGTGCCGAAGTCGGGCGGCTTCGCACCCCCGACCTCCGCCACGCGACCAAGGATGCGCATGAGCGCCATCTTCTGAAAGGCCGAAAATGGTGCACCGGACATCTCGCACGAGTCCATCGCAGACGTCAGGTCGGTGACGCGAGTAGATAATCAAGGAAAAGAAAGTCAAATGATTTGACACTGAAGCCAAAATGGCCACGATAGCAATGCCATCGGCCGGCTCTTTTGTTCCTTCATGTATTGCATGCACAACCCATCATCGATCATCCTCCGGGGCCCCAGCTGATGGGGGGGAGGGGGTGGAGCAGAAAGCCGCGCTGAGAGGCAACGACGAGGACGACGAGATGGACGGCAACGCTGATGACGACACTGACGATGACGACGACAAAGACGACGACGACGACGGCGACGACGACGACGACGACGACGACGACGACGACAGCGGAGGCGGCGGCGAAGAAGAAAAAGAATAATAATAAGACACATAAAAACAAAGTAATAATAACACTAATAATAAAGACGCGGACGACGGACGACGACAGACAACAACGGACGGCGACGGACGACGACGACGACGACGACGACGACGACGACGACGACACGACGACGACGACGAGGACGACGACGACGACGACGACCACACTGACGACGGCGACGACGGCAGCGATGGTGACGTCGATGTTGGACGACTGGTGACGACGCTTCCCACGACGACGACGGACACAGACATCCTCTGGTGTTTTTCTTCGGTCTGGCCGAATCGAAAGAAACACGCTGCGGCCGAAGAAACCACATCGTCGGTGGAGGGACAGCAGGGTACCGATACCGCTATGCCCCAGAATCTGTCCAGGGGTGCGCTCTGACCAGGAATCTCGAGACGAATCCAGCCTTGGCGACAAAGGAAAGGCACCGGCATCGGGATCTCTGCCCCTTCTGGATCGGAGGCCTGGGGACGACGGACGACGGCGAGCAGCTCCTTGGGAGAGCCGGGCTCGATGCAGCGGAGTGCCTCCTTGTGCGAAGCGGGCTCGAGGCGCCCCAAGGCCTCGTCGACCTCGTCGAGGATCGTGTTGAGCCGCTCCCGCTCCTCAGCGAGTGCGGCGCGCAGGTCGCCCATCTCTTGCCTCTGGAGCCGCGGGAATTGCGCCGATTCCCGTTCGTCCTACCCCCTGCATTCTGTTCCTCTTCCTTCCGCATCATGCTCCTCCTCCTCCTCGTCCTCGTCCTCCTCCTCCTCCTCCTCCTCCTCCTCCTCCTCCTCCTCCCCGTCCTCCTCCTCTTCCTCCTCCTCCTCCTCCTCCGCATCCCCGTCCTCCTCCTCTTCCTCGTACTCATCCTCTTCTTCTCCTTAGTATTCGTAGCAGTATTCTTCTTATTTGTCTTATTACTATTATTATTACTATTATTCTTAACAGTCGTAATATTATCGATATTATTATTAGTGCTAGTATTATGTTTCGCCTTAGTCGTGTTATTATGTTTCGTCTTCGTATTCTCACTATTAGCAGTAGTATTATCATTATCATTGGTTTTCTTATCATGTATTAGTATCATTGTTATTATGACTCGTATGCTTCCTCTTATTATTCTTTTTATTAGTAGTCATAGTATTATGTGTATGTTCATTTGCATTCGTGTTATTATTCGTCTTCGTCGTCTTACACTCAGTAATATCATTATTGATAGTACTATTCATCGTTTTCGTCTTATGTTTCTTGTTACTTCGAGTCATCGTATTATGATTATTCTTATTTGTATTCTAGTAGTATTATTATTTGAATTAAGATTACTAGTAGTGTGCGTATTGATATAATTGTGTTCGTTCTTATTTTCCTTATTCTTAGGATTATTCGTATTATGCCTCTTCTTTCTCCCCCTCCTCCTCCTATTCCTCGTCCTCTTCGTCCTCCTCGTCCTCCTCGTCGTCCTCGTCGTCCTCGTCCTCCGCGTCCTCCTCGTCCTCCTCCTCTTCCGCCTCCTCGTCCTCCTCCTCCTCCTCCGCCTCCTCGTCCTCATCCTCCTCCTCCTCCTCCTCCTCCTCCTCCTCCTCCTCCTCCTCCTCTTCCGTCCTCCTAATATTCCTCCTCCTCTTCCTCCTCCTCCGCATCCCCGTCCTCCTCCTGTTCCTCGTATTCCTCCTCTTCTTCTTCTTCTTCTTTCTCTTACTATTTTCTTATTAGTAGTAGTATTCTTCTTCTTTGTATTATTCTTATTATTATTCTTAGCATTCGTAATATGATCCTTCCTGATAGTATTCTTCATTTTAGTATTATTCTGATTATTCGTATTAGTACTAACATCATAATATTATCAATTACTATGTTTCACCTTAGTCGTATTCTCATTACTATTATCATTTGTTTCTGTTTCGTATTCTTATTGTTGTCCACAGTGTTCCTATGTTTCTTCTTCTTTTAATTATGTCTCATAGTTAATTTTATTATTATTATTATTATTATTAGTGTTCGTCTTCGTCGCCTTATAGTTGATATTATTATTGGTAGTAAGATTCATCGTGCTATAAATATTATTATTGTTACTGTTAGTCGTCGTATGATGATTATTCTTATTGGTACAATGTCATTATGACTTTCTATTGATATTATTACTAGTCTGCTTAGTATTATATTTGTTATTGTTAGTGTTTGTAGTATTATCATTATTCTTCTTGGTAGTATTCTTATTATGCCTCTTCTTTCTCTTCATCCTCCTCCTCGTCCTTCTATTCCTCGTCCTCCTCGTCCTCCTCGTCCTCCTCGTCGTCCTCGTCCTCCTCGTCCTCTTCGTCCTCCTCGTCTTCCTCGTCCTCCTCTTCCGCCTCCTCGTCCTCCTCGTCCTCCTCCTCCTCGTCCTCCGTTTCCTCCGCCTCCTCGCCCCCGGAAAGGGGGAGAACTCGCACCCCGCCTTGCGCTGCCCGGGCGGCGGCGCCAAGGTCGGCCTGGCCTGCCGCAGGGGCGGCCGCAGGCGTTGGGCCAAAATGGCCTGGGAGCACGCGCAGGAGGGAGGGAGGGAGGGAGGGACGGAGGGGGACGGAGGGAGGGAGGGGGACGGAGGGAAGGAGGCAGGGAGGGAATGGGAGGAGGCGGAAGAGGAGGATGCTGATGCTGATGCTGATGCTGGCGCTGGCGTGGTGCAAATCACGATGTTGGTGTTGGTGCTGCTGATGGTGATGATGATGGTGATGGTGTGGGGGATGGTGATGGTGGTGATGATGATGGCGATGACGGTGATGATGCTGGTGTTGGTTGTGGTGATGATGACGCTGGTGTTGATATGATGCTCATGATGATGCTAATGATGATGGTGCTACTGCTAATGATGATGACGACGACGATGATGACTATGCCAAGTTGGGTCGCCGCGGCCATAACATTCGCTTTAGCAGCTGACGGTGGCGATGGCAAGAACGATGCCTCGGCTCCGAGAGTGGCAGTGTACGCTCGCAGACAGCACAGACGCATGAAACCGATTCAAAACCCTCGAGCGAGGGCGGGTGGGCTGGGAGCTTGAGCGCAGACGGTTTCGGTCGCCTGGCCACTCTTCCCTTCCCCATCACACTGCGCAGTAAAGTTGTTGCTATGCCTGGCTGGGTCGCCGCGGCCATAACATCCTTTTTAGAGAAGCTCACGGTGGCGATGGCAGGAACGATGCCTCGGCTCCGAAAGTGGCAGTGGTCACTCGCAGACGCCACAGACGCACATGGAGTAACATGACATCATGGCCGAAGGCCGGCAAGAAAAAAACTCTGGACCGATTCAAATATCCCATCGCTTTGATAAAGGAATCTGCGACGAGTTCGGCAGCTCCGACTGGAAAACGCGCAGCCTTGTGTCCGAAGGTTGCGCCTCCCGCCGCGCGGCCATCGAACTGCAAGCGAGGCCGCCCCGAAAATGAGCACACGCCGCCGCGCGGTTCACGCGCTGAGCGAAGGGGCTGGAGGCGCGCGCAGAAACGCGCGGCGGATCCAAACTGACACAGGCCCAAATCAGTTTCGTCAAAAATGTCGCAACAGGTTAAGGCTCCTATCCGGGCACATTCCACGCCAGACTAGATCTAGGGTGCCCCATGCAGACTGGCACATCGCGTTCGATACATGCGCGAATCAACACGATGGCAGCGCGCAGCTCGACGCGATCTGCCCCCCCCCCTTCCCCACCCACCCCCCACCGCGCCCCGCCCACCCCGCCCACGCACGCAACAAGAGAAACTGCAGATCTGATGGCGCTGAGCCTCTGGAAGGGCGGCCCCAAGGCTCGGCCCCAGTGCGAACGGGGGGGGGCCCAGGCTCAATCCAAGACCCCCTCTGCGCAGACAGCCAGAGCGCGCCGACCGCCGACGATCGAACCCAACCCGAGACTCGATCGACGACGACCTGCTCCGAGAGACGGAGGTCAGCATTCCGACCTGCCCCATGCCTAGGACATCCAAAACCGCGACCGCGAAGCGCTTTGCAAATGGGGGCCCCGCGGGGCCCAACCGCTGGCAGAACGCGACGGCGGCGGCCGGGCGTCCAAGCATGAGCCCGCCCAAAAACTGACCCCATGCGAGCCGCTAGCGCCCGGCCAGAACGGGCGCCCGCCTCGCGGGGCGCGGGGCGCTGGCCACCGCCTGCAGCTGCGCGCGCTGTGCGAAAGAGCGCGCCGCGTGCTTCCCCTCGATGAGCTCCGCCAGACGGCCGAAGACCCGCTCGCCGAAATGCGCCGCGGCGGGCGGCGGGTCCGCGATCCGCTGCTGCATCCTCGCCCTCGTGCCGCACCTCCTCAAAGACGGGTCCGGAATCCAGCGACCCCTCTCCTTCGCCTCCGCGACCGTTCTCGAGTCCGAGAGCAAGTCGCGAGAGCCCCCCCCCCCCCCATGGCGAAGGGCGCGCGCGGACGGGGGCTCCTTCTGCAACCCGAGCTGCTGCAGCCCCTGCGCGAACTTGGCTCGCGCATCCGCTGGCCCGAAGGTCCAGGGGCTCGAGCCCGCGGCGGCGCCCAGCGTCGGCGCGCCCAGCGCGGGCCACAACTCGGGGGCGTCGACCAGGACTGACTCGTCGGTGGCCCCCGTCCTGCTCGGCCGCCCCGGCTTCGCATCGGTCGCACTGAGGCCGCAGGCGTTGAAATTCGAATCCTCGATCGGGCAAACGAGCGACCCCGCCCGCAGTCGATGGGCCTCCGACGGCCGCGAGCACGCGTGGAACACCAGCACCGCGAACGCGGCCATGCTGGGCAGGTTGTTCGCGGTGGTCCACCCCGAAACGGCCGCGGCAGCGGCCCTCGGCAGCGTCGGCCGCATCTGGGGCGGCGAGGCCCTGCGCTCGGGCAGCTCGAGGTAGCGGACGCTTGCCCCCCAGCTGGCGCGGCAAGTTGTGCCTGAGCGCCGCCGCCGTCGTCGCGCCCGTCGCCGAGTCGAGACCGCCCAGCGCCAGGTCGGTCAGTAAGCTGGCCACCAGCGCGCCCAGCTGGCTGGCGGTGCTGAAGTCGTGCTCGTGCCAGCCGAGCCATTCCAGGAAGCGCAGCGCGCGTCCCCGATGCCGATATCTGGTCGTGTCCGTGACCGCCGACATCTCCAGGAAGCCAGTCGCCCCCTCCGCCAACTCCCAGGGGCGCGGATGCTCTATCCCCTGGGCCGCCTTGACCGTCGTGGCCAGCTGCTTCCAGGACACTTCGGCAGTCCGAGGTTTCGAGCGCCTGCAAGAAGCCTCTGCCATGGAAGAAGCCACGACGATGAGGCCAGTCGGCTACATTCAACTCTGACGGCAGCCAGCTCACATAGCCTCGAATGCTGACGGCAAGTGAGAGGGCTGCCACCTTCCGCAGAGGTATCCGAAGGGCGGGCTTCCGCCCTCTGCCCCCCCCCCCCCCCCCAACTGCCAGAGCCGCGGGCAAACTGTCGACGAGAAACAAACGGCGGCGATGATGAAGAGAAACGTTACGCGAAGCGCGCCGTAACGCGTCATGCGGGCGTCTCCCCCACGCTCTAAGATTTCCACGCCGGGGCCCCAGCGCCCTGGAGATCGCAGCGGCCCGAGAGGAGGCCTGCATGATGTCCTCGGGAACCTCGTGGAAGCCCATGTCGATGAGGGGGGCCTTGTCCTCTAAGTCGGGCGCCTCGACCCCGTCCTCGACGACCGCTTCCGAGACGCCCTCGACGTCGCGGGGCCCGTCCAGGCCCGGAGCGTTAGCCCGCGCCGATGCAGCTGACGTGCACCGTTACATCCACCCCCCTGTCTGCCTCCCAATCTCGACCACGCGAGGCCCCGCCAGCTGACAGGCACGGGCGCGAGGTCCAGAGAGGCAGCGCACTAGCAACGCACCAGAGCTCGAACCTCGCCGAGCTTCACGAGGGCCTCACCGCAATATCTTTTTGAAATTTGAAGGCCACGCGGAGGCTGGAGTGGGGCGAGCCCCCCTTTTACCAAATCATCGCCCATGTGATGTGACCCAGCAATGCTTCGAGCATGCGAGGCGATCCCGCCCCTCGCCGCGAAACCGCCAGAATCGCCAGCCGAAGCCGCAGGACGCTGGTCGGCCCCGCCCTCGCGGTGCCCTTCTCACCGTTGATCTCGAGAACCGTGAAGATGGAAACAGACGAAACCTCATCGATAGCGTGCACGGGCAGGCGCCAATCCTCCAAGGTGCGAATGATCATGCCCCGCATCTCGGCGACGGCTGCGTCGCCCCCCGCGACTGCAGCCGAGCAGCCCCGAGAGAGACGCGCGGGACTCGGTCGGCCATCCTGTATCAGTCATCCATCACTAAGACCGTTCTGGACGAGGGCCCACCGCAGAACGCTTCGGCGGAAGAGTAATGACCAGCTCCAACCCATGGGAAGCACGCGAACCATCGGTTGCAGGATATCATCGCTGGCCAGCGGCCTCCCCTCGAGCTGCTTGGTTCCCAGCAGTCGATTAAATATGGACGGGGGCGCGAAGTGCTCCCCCATGCCTGGCGGCGCAATCGCGTGGTATAACGCGCACTGGCGCACTGGGCGTCGCCCTGCGCCATCGCCACGGGGTGCTCCGACACCAGAGGGGGCCCGAGCTGCAGTCGCAGGTAAAGTGGTCTCGGGCGGCGGCCCGAAGCCCTCGTTCGCCGCGCGCGCGTCGAACGCCGGCCCGAGCGCGCCCTCGTCAGCTTTCTCGACGAAGATAAACCCCAAACTGCATGGATCAGCTGCCTGCGCAACACGGAAGCTGCTCGCGCCGCCCTGCGGCGATTCCCCCGCGAAGCCAGCGTAGGCCCTAGGGCTGTTTGCCAAATTATCCCAGCAAAGCAACCTAACAGCGATGTGTAGAAGCATATATGGAAACATTCCCCTTAAGATCCAGATGAGAATTCAGTTGTAGAATTCTCCTGTTCTCGCAGTCGCAGTCGCATTCGCGATGACAGTCGCAGTGGCAACGGCAGTCACAGTCACAGCCTCAGCCTGCCTCAGTATCGGCCTGCCTCAGCCTCAGCCTCAGCCTGCCTCAGCCTCAGCCTCAGCCTGCTTCAGCCTCAGCCTCAGCCACAGCCTGCCTTCAGCCTCGGCCTCAGCCTCAGCCTGCCTCAGCCTCAGCCTGCATCAGCCTCAGCCTCAGCCTCAGCCTCAGCCTCAGCCTGCCTCCGCATCAGCCTGCCTCAGCCTCAGCCTCAGCCTGCCTCAGCCTCAGCCTCAGCCTGCCTCAGCCTCAGCCTCAACCTTTTCCTCAGCATCAGCCTGCCTCAGCCTCAGCATCAGCCTGCCTCGGCCTCAGCCTCAGCCTGCTTCAGCCTCAGCCTCAGTCTGCCTTCAGCCTCGGCCTCAGCCTCAGCCTGCCTCAGCCTCAGCCTGCAGCCTCAGCCTCAGCCTCAGCCTCAGCCTCAGCCTCAGCCTCAGCCTGCCTCAGCATCAGCCTGCCTCAGCCTCAGCCTCCTCTGCCTCAGCCTCAGCCTCAGCCTCAGCCTCAGTCTGCCTTCAGCCTCGGCCTCAGCCTCAGCCTGCCTCAGCCTCAGCCTGCATCATCAGCCTCAGCCTCAGC